AGCCGTGCAGAAGCTAAAGCAGTGGTATTACTCTTCTACCCCAGAGAAAGGAGTTTTCCTCTGTTTGAGGCATATTCCTGCTATGTGGCCTAGTTACTTGGGGCTGGTTCTTTGAATGAGAATTTACTTAAGGGAGAGACAGCTACATGACTACAATCCTCCTAGCTAAACTAAATCCTTACATTCACAAATAGTTCAAATAGCTGTTCCAGACTACATTTTCCATTATAGTTGTTTCAAGCCCTTGAACACTTCAAGCAATAAAACTTCACATTTCTAGAAGTCTACCAAAGTTTAGGCATCTTGACTCAGTAGCTGCAAGAAGCAAAACCTAGAGTTTTTATTTAATATCAAATAGACTGGGTACAAATTAGCTTTTCCCTAAAAAATATACTTTTGACCCACGCAAAACTATTTGCAGAATGTAACTGAAATCTGTTAATTATTTCAGCCAACAAAAATAAAACACCGAGAAGCTGAAACATTTCAGCTCTTTAAAAATAGTGGGTCTTGATTATTCATTTTTAACGATTTTTTAGTAATAGCAGCTTTTAAGATTCAATAGAAAGCATTTACAAAATTGGACTAAAAATGAAATGGAACCTTTGTTTCTGGTTTTTTGAAACATTTTAATCAACCCCAAATCTATGGTGTCTTCTTTTGTTTGACAGACAAATTATTTTTCTGCTTGTGTTAGGTCATTTCTTTCCTCTCCATTCCCCAAGTTTTCAGCCAGTGAATTGAAAAATAAACAAGTAAATACATGAAATGAACAATTTGTTCATTAGTTCCAGCATTAGTGTTGACAGATTTCTCCTGCTGTTTAAACAGACAAGAAGGCATTGGATTTTAGTCTGGAAAGCATAGGAACAATTACTCAGGCCTGTCTACATCCACGACAGCATTTACAACAGTTATCTTTAAGCATATGTTAAAGTCTCATTGATTTCAAAATGCCTCTTTAACAGTGTCTTCAGCTCTTGACATTTTATCACTAGCGTCAGAATATTTTATGCCCTTTTTAAAGCTCCTGCAGAAATAAGCATCCATAAGAATCACATCTTTCACTCGGGTACCGCTGACCTCCTGCCTCGTCTTAGCCAGGCACTGTGTTGCACCTTGGCTGGCCAACAGGAGACATTAGCCCCAGGAGCTCAGCA